TAAAATAGCTTCACGTGACTCATAGATTTTTTTCTTAGACGTCTAATGATGTGTAGTTGGAGGGAGGGATATTTTAAAATTCAGTTCCCAAGTTAACCTCCAGATGTGGCAAGGAAACACTTATTCTGCCCATACAGTTATTTTTCAACTGAGCAAACGGTTTTCAGTTGTCCCCCGGAGCCTCACCGCCATCCTGCAAACGCTCCTGGAGAGCTACAAATGTAACATTTTCAAGCTGGACCAAGAGCATAGAGAACCAGGGTAGGATGTTTTTGAAAAACAATAAAACGTTCTTTTTCCATCGTCTCCTGAAAAGCAATCCTCTCTAATCTACATCAAAGGAGATCTCCCTCAGCTCATTCAAATGCCTCCTTTCGCCTTTCCAGAGCCCAGAGGACACGCCAGCGCGCTTCCCTGCGGACCGCGGCAGCGTTAAGTCATCCATCACTTGTAGATTGATATGTGGGTCTAGTGGCTTCCATGGGAAGCGTCAGGTCCGCCAGTGCATCCAGCCCTCCACCCCTGAGTCACCTGAGTAACAGCAAGCGGTGCCAACAGTAACCACAGGATGCCAGTGGGTCGAACCCCAGGAAACCATGGGGTTCAGCTACCCCAACAGCCCCCCTTAACAGCTCCCTTCAGTATGTGTGTCCATGAAGCAGGGTGGGAATGAGACCCCGTCGTAACGAGTCGCTTCCTGGTCATGTCTGTGTTTTGAGGTAACCGTGCTGGTTCTCTGGGCAGGGGAGCCTCGAGGGAGCCCACAGCAGGCCCCCCAGGACCTCTCAGGGTCCTGCTGGAAACAGACGGCCCACCCAAAGGGGCTGACCCAGAGGATGTGTACTGAAGGGCTGTGGTCAGAGCTGGGGCAGGGTCGCAGCAAGCGCAGGGATGGGACAGCATCTTATAGCCGTCCCGGCTGGGAGCCCAGTGGCCAGGGGGGGCCGGCCAGTCATGGGGGCCCAGAGGGACGAGAGCCACAGGAAACAGGCCGCCCGACAGGACAGGTAGAGGGGACGCGGCCCTGGCAGGTGTGCGGCAAGGTGGCGCAGGTAGGGAAGCGTTAGCGTTCCGGGGCTGCTCTAACAAAGCGCCACAAACTGGCGGCTTACAACCGAAACTTATTCTCACGTGACTCTGCGGCCTGGAAGTCCCAAATCAGGTGTCAGCAGGACCCTGCTCCCTCTGAAAGCCCAGGCGAGACCCTTCCTGGCTTCCGTGCTGGGCTCTGCGGGTGGCTGGCAGCCCTTGGCGTCCCCCTTGGAGGTGCGTCACTCCCACTCTGCCCTGCCCTCA